GAGAAAGAAAGAAAGAAAGAAAGAAAGAAAGAAAGAAAGAAAGAAAGAAAGAAAGAAAGGAAGGAAGAAAGAAAGGAAGGAAGGAAGGAAGGAAGAAACTGTAATTCTTATAAGGGTCTTCCAGACGATCCGAGTTCAGTTCCCAGCACCCACACTGTGCGTGTCATAACTACCTGTTGTAACAAAATGCTCTCTTCTGGCCTTGATGAGCAGCTGTACTCATGTGTACCTACAAACACACACGTACACATATAAAAAAAAAATAAAAAGATTTTATTAAAAGAAAAAGAGCCGGTGTTCATTTGGCCCACAGTGCTGAGGTGTACTATAGGCATCTCCTGAGGGCCTTTCATGGTGTCTTATCTTCATGACCTCTTCAGATGCTAACTAGCTACCGGAGGCCCTTCCTCCAAAATATCATTAACATAGATATTTGGGGGGTTAGGTTTCCAGTACTTGGACACCTGGGGACACTTTCAAGCCCCTGCAAACGTCATTACACTTTTTGTCATGTGGATGAACAGTTGGTCTAACCTTAGTCATAGATCAGGTTAGCCTTTGTTGGGTAACTGGTTTACATGGCCATAAATTTTTCTTTTGTTACGCAGATCTGTCTTGGTTAGGTTAGGTTCCTACAGTTGTGACAGAGCACTGTGATCAAAGCAACTTGGGGAGGAAAGGATTTATTTCCTCTTCTAACTTAACAGGTCACACTCTTGCTACTGAGGGAAGTCGGGGCAGGAACTAAAGGAGACAGGAACTGAGGCAGAAGCCATGGGGGACCGCTGCTTACTTACCGGCTTGCACCTTGTGGCTTGCTGAGTAACAGCCGGGGGTGGTCCCACCCTCACCGAGCTGGGCCCTCCCACATCGACCATTAATCAAGGCACTACCCCACAAAACTGCCAATCTTACAGAGGCATTTTCTCGGTTAAGATTCCCTCTTCTAGTCGTGTCTATGTGCCAAGTTGACAGAAATCAACCAACACACTGTTCTAAGCTCAGTAACCGTATTTAAAAAAAAAAAAATTTTTTTTAAGACAGTGAATGAGGTTGGACATGGAAGTTCATGCCCAATAATTCCAGCACTTGGGAGCTGGAGCCAGGAGGACCTGGAGTGCATTCATTAGTCAGGATTCTCTAGCAGGGCAGAACTGATAAGAGAAAAAAAAATTGTTTAAATCAGTTTACATTGAAGTACTAACAGCCCAGAGGCTGAGACTCTGGGAGCTCTCTGCCCTAGAGGTGAGGTGCCTCGGTAGTCAGGCTGCCTCCACCACAGTTGTTTTACACTACAGAGGCCCAGAATCCAATGGCTGCTCCATCGCTGAGGCTAGCCTCAGCAGTGCCAATTCAGGGCCAAACCCTGAAGGGTTCCGGAAGAGCAGCTGACCACTGTCAGGTGAGGGATGTATGGAAATGCCGCTTCTACTGTCCGTGGAGGAATCAGCAGCTTCAGTGGTAGGGAAAGTTGGCCAAGAAAGCTGGAGGCCAAGTGAGCAAAGGCTCTTCCTTCTGCCACCCCCATTTTATCTGGAATGCTACCAAAAAGTGTGCCGGCCTATGGGATGGCTCTTCCCACATCACTTGAGGCAATAGGACAACTCCTCGGTTGAGGCTCCTTTCTCCAGGTCCCAGTGAAACTGATGGTCACGCAAAGTTCAAGGTCATCCTTAGCTGTATAGCCAGCTTGAAGTCAGCCTGGGCTATAAGGCACCATTTCAAAAACAAACAAGAAAAAAATCGGCAAAATTCAGGTCTGGCAGTGTATGTCAGCTAGTTGGTAGAGCATTTGCCTAGCATACCTGAAGTCCTAGGTTTGGGTTATGGACTTTGTGACTCCTGGGTAAAGACCATAGAATCAATCCATTTATTTTTCTTTTGAGGCAGGGTTTGTCTGTGTAGCCCTGGTTGTTTTGGACTCTCCTTGTTGTCCAGGCTGGCCTTGAACTCACAGAGATCCACCTGCCTCTGCCTCCCCAGGTGCTGGGATTACAGGTGTGCGCCACAGCTCTTGGCTACTCAATCCAATTCTAATTAATGGGTGTATTAATTAGCTGCTGGGAGGATGAACAGTCTCTGAGGCAAATTTGAGATTGCTGAGATGGAGTTGTACAGAGGAGGACTTTTAAGGAGGAAAACCACACAAAGACCTTCAATATCTACAAGCCAGCAAAGGCTGTTCTGCCAAGTTAAGTAATTAAGGCAACTCAGAACAATTTTGGGTATCTGTGTAAGCGAGTTACAAGAAGAAGAAAAAAAAAACAGCTAGTCATATCATAACAAGCAGATAATCACCACTGTATATTTTTGAGTGGGGGTCAGTGTCAGGGTGGGTACCTAGATAGATGCCTAGCATAAAATGGAGCTACTTTAGCCACAACACTTGCCACACCCCCATACCATACAGGCATCCACTTGTAAACTCAGAAAGTGGAAGCAGAAAACAAGGAGCTCAAGGTTATCCTTGCCTACGCATTGCATTTGAGGCCAGCCTGAGAACATGAGACCCTGTCTCAAAAGACAAACAGGAAGAGGGGCTTCTAAGGTCTCATCCCCTGTAAGGATGTGTTTTGTTGATGGAGGATGGAGAGACATTTTATTCAGTAGTGTAAACCCCTGGTAAGATGCTCATACTCCTGTAAATAACTTATAATAACTCATTGACACGCATACACACAGAGTATGAAAGTAGAAAGGAGGGTTTATTTATTAATGGGAAGAAGAGTGGAGCAGGAAGGGTAATGGAGAGAGAGTGAATATGACCAAATTATATTATGGACATGCCTGAGAAACATCATACCACTTCCCACAGAGGCTACACTGTGTTACATTCTCAGCAGTTAGTGAACAAGCATTTCCATGTCTCTACACCCTCACAAACTTTCTCTAGCACAAGCTGGCCTGGAACTCACTATGTAGCCAAGACTGGCCTTGAACTCAAAACAATCATCTTGCCCAGTCTTCCCAGGTGATGGGACTGCAGACAGAAAGTACCATACGTGGCTTCTGTTTAGCTGTTTTAATATTGGGCAATGGAAGCTGTGCTCTTGGGTTTTTGTTTGTTTGTTTGTTTGTTTGTTGAGGCAGGGTTTTGCTGTGTAGCTCTGGCTGGCCTGGAACTCACTATGTAGAGCAGGCTGCCCTCAAACAGAGATCAGCCTACCTCTGCCTCCTGATTGCTGGGATTAAAGGCGTGCACCATCTATGCTTAGGTTGGGTTTTGAGGCAGGATATTGCTCTGTAGCAGGCTGGTATTGAACTTTAGATCCTCCTGCATCTGAGTTCTGGGGTTGTAGGCATGCACCTCTACACCTGGCTTTCTTACTGTTGGTGGGTTTTGTTTTTCACTAATGCCTGGTGGGTAATGCTAGTCTTCCCATGGTCACAGCAGTCATTCGATCATTTCTTTGAAGAAGTGTCTATTCAGGTGCTCATGTGAAGCTGTTTGTCTCCTGGCGCTGGGCTGTATGTATTTACAAGTACTTTCCTCCCAGCCCATTGACTGATTTCCACTCTGATGATAGTATCCTTTTGATGTGGGTTCTTTGAAAGCAATGGAATCTTGGCTCTTAGTTATCTTAGCCCAGGGACCTAGGATGCTGGCTGATCATGGTTGTCAAAACTGCCTTGAGCCAGTGACATCTGGGCTCATTGTCTCAGAAGGATAAGACATACAGGCCAGGAGAGAATAGAATGAACCTACATTTATTAAGAACAGTGAGAGGAACTCTGAGAGGGAAGAGCATTCTCATGCTGCCCTGCCCTGGGCTCTTTCATGGGCCTTCTGGAGGGACTGAATACACTGAGGTAAGCTGTACTGGGACTGGTCATTTTTAGTGCCTCATGGTCTGAAGCTGCAGAGTCCACATGTCCTACGAAGCTCTCCTGACTCAGCTGGAGACCTTTCTGTGTTCCTGAATGATCTTAAACCTCCGATCCTTCAGCTTCTACCTCCAAGTGCTAGAACTACCACGTCCAGGTTGTCAATCTCATTCTTTTACAGGTGGGGACTCAGTTTCCCCGCTGTGCTTGAGTTTGATTGTGTTTCATCTAAGACATTTGCCCCCCTGGGCAAGTCTGCTTTTCCCAGTTTCTGGAATCCACAGCCCATCTTCCTTAACATCATGGTTCCCGGGCTCGTGCCTGAGAATGCCAGTGAAAATTGCTGACATCTGGATTCGTCAGTACTTCCCTGGCAGGACAATCACATCACCTAATAAAATCTTTTATTTATTCTGGGTCCAAGTTTTTCTCCCATCTATTGATTCTGGCTTGCTTTCTGGGATCGTAGGAACCAGCAAGTTTCTTTTTATTTGTCTATTTTGTGTAGCCCTGGCTACACACCCTGGAACTCACCCTGTAGACCAGGCTGGCCTAGAACCCGGACAGCCACCTGCCCCTGCCTCCCGAGTGCTGGGATTAAAGGAGTGCACCATGACCACCCAACTAACAGTGAATTCTTATTTCCCAGGAAATACTTTGTTTTGCAGCACTGGAATGAGTTGCAGGATTTTGCACATGCTTCGTGAGCTACCTAATGAGCTACAGCCTCAGCCCCGTTTTGAACCCAAAACATAGCTGCATTCTGGCCACCTGCATGCCAGGTGTATAAGGCTTATCACATTTGCTCCACCAAACACTCCATAAAGAGGCCCTACTGTTGAGTCCTATCTTGTAGGTGAAGCAAATAAGATCTAAAGAGCTTGTGACCTGCCCGGGATCAGACAGTTCAAAGGCCACAGCCCCAAGCACTTAGCTGAACTGCCTCTCTGCTGCTGATAGCAACTAGCCCAGTCCCCGCCTCGGCTTCAGCCATTCTCCAGAGGGGGCAGCTTTTGTGGCCTGGCCTGTCCTAAATGTTCTTCCTAAAATTAAAGCCCAGTGCCAGTGTCCCTATGTGGTCATTTGAGGACACTGTGCAGAGGACATTGGCTCTTCCAACCTGAACGCTATGTCCTCAAGAATGACGCATGACAGAGTTGGAGCAGCTGTCACCAACAAAATCAAAGGCTCTGTTACATCACCTGCCACTGACAGAGGGCATGTAGCCTCCGAATCCACGGCATCCTTGGGATTTATTTATTTTTAACCTGTGGAGAGATCCCTCCCCACACACTATGGGGTTCATGCTCTTTTATTTATTTATTTATTGAGCAGGCTGGCCTCGACCTCACAGAGATCCACCTGCCTCTGCCTCCTGAGAGCTGGGATTAAAGGCATGCACCACCATGCCTGGCCTGGGGTTTATACCCTTATTCAAAGACATTCGGGTCGTTGCTGTGTTTTGTTTCCTTGTTTTAAGTCAGTCTCATGTAGCCCATGCCAGCCTCCCCTTATGGCTCAGGCTGGCTTTGAACTCCTGACCCTCTTGCCACAGCTACCCTGGTGCTAGAATCACAAGTGTGTGCCACTGTGGCTAGATGGTGTTTGGATCGTTATACAGTCTTTGTTTTGCAGCTAGCATCTTTGTAGCACTCACAGTGTGCCAGATACGACTTTAGCCCTTTATCTACTTGAACGCCAACAATCCCCACCACAGCCCAATCGCCTACACATTACCAGTCCTATTTGCAAGGAAGAAAGCAGACATAGGGCTGGGGGTGCCGTGCAGTAGTGGAGCATATGCATGCAAACCCAGGAAGCCGAGGCCCAGAATTTGCTTATTCAGCCTTGGCAGGGTACTGGCTCCACAGGCTGGCCTTGAACTCAGAACTCAGAGATCCACCTCCTGAGTGCTGGGATTAAAGGCATGCGCCACCACCACCTGAGACACTCTTTTTTTTTTTTCTGATTGTTTTCCATTGCTTTCTGCTTAGAAAAGTATATTTCTCTTGATTGGAATAACTTAAAAAAATGAATCTAAGAGCTGGAAATGTCAGTGGGGTGTTCAGCTAGCATGCTCCAGCACTCCATCTCCAGCACCCCACAAAAACTGGCCTAATGACACATTCCTGTAGTTCCAGCACTAGGGAGGTGAAAACAGGAGAATCAGAAGTTCATGGTCATTCTCAGCTACACAGCAAGTTTGAGCCTGAGACCCTAGGTCAAAAAGGTTTTTACAAGGCTATACAATAAATTTAAGTAAAAAAGAAGTGCAAGAAAAAAAATGTATGTAGGAAACATCAGAGGTGGTTTTCAGATATGATAAAAGCAATGATGGTCTTAGGGAAACTTGAGATGCTTTGGGAAGTCTGTCCCACCTGGTCAGGTATGCCGTTCTGTGACAAAACGCCCCCAAGGTTGGTTCCAATAGCTTGTTCTAGCTCTCTTACAGTGCATGTCCCTCTTTGATCAGCAGGGGGCCCTCCTCACCAGGGTGACTCAATACCCATCCTTGTTTCCGTAAAGAAAGGGCTGGCCCAGCCTGCTTCTCCTCACTTCTCACAGTCACATCCAACTTCAGAGAACAGAACAAGTATGAAGCTACCACTTGCCTGTAAGGAGGGTAGCCTAGGAGCAGACTGGCCCAGAGGTGGGTTGGGCCAGGGCCCTTTGATTTGCCTTATCCACGAAGGGTCGAGCATTTGCTGTTCCTCACCTTTTCATTTCATGTATTTATTGTGTGTGCATGTGTGGGGGGGGGGGGGCAAGCGCGGCAGTGTGGAGCTCAGAGATAACTAAAGAGAGGAGGATCTGTCTTTCTGCTAAGTGAGTCCCAAGAAAACATCTTTATTCACTGAGACGCCTCATTGGTCTCTTCTTTTCTTTTTTCTTTCTTTCTTTTTTTTTTTTTTTTGACATGGTTTCATCTAGTGCAAGGCTACACTTAAACTCACTCTGTAGCCCTCCTGCCTCTGCTTTCCAAACGCTGAAGTATTTGCCAACATGCCGACTAAATTATTTGCGATTCTCAGACTATTTGTTTCACTTTGCAAAAATTCTGCTGTGGGCGTAGAATTCTTTTCACTGACCATTAATGACATTCTCTTCCTTAAACATGCATGTATGAAGCTAGGCATGGTGGTGCACCCCTTTAATCCCAGCAGGGAAGCAGATGCAGGTGAATCACTGAGAGTTTGAGGCCAGCCAGGTCTAAAAAGTGAGTCCAGGATAGACAGGCTACACAGAGAAACCCTGTTTTGAAAAAACAAAACAAACAAACAAAAAGACAAGACAAAACAAAAACCGTGTGTGTGTGTGTGTGTGTGTGTGTGTGTGTGTGTGTGTGTGTGTGTATGGAGGAAGGGTGTTCTACAGTGATCTCGTGAAGGTCAAAGGACAGGAGTTGCTCCTCTCCCTCCACCATGGGGATCTTGGGGGTTGAATTCAGGTCATCAGGCTGAGAGGCCAGCCTCTGTACTTGGTGAGCTCACTATGAGACTCATCAAGTTCTCCTCACAGGCCCCTTCAGAATGCTACCATTCTGCCTCTCTCTGTTTGTTTAAACCTGCTCAAGGATTGGGGTATGCTATAAGAAACGCAGCCAGCAGGCATCTCCACGATGGGGGCAGAAGCGTAAATAGGTTATCTACAGGTAACTGGACACACTGGCCGCTTCAAGTTGACGTGCTAGGAGGAGGTTACGGAGACAGAGAATGTAGGTCGAGGAAGGTACAGAACTCACACAACAAGTCTGGAGCTGCAGACCCACCCTCCCTCCAGGTCACGGCAACAATAGTCAACCACAGCGGGACTTGCAAAGGCCCTGAGCCAGGAAGGAGGAAGGGAGGAATGAGATGAGGCTGGAGATGTGGGGACACAGTAATAAAATTCTTGTGACGGGAGTCTTCTGAGCTTCATAAACGCTCAGGACGCTGTAAATGTTTAAAGAGGGGAGGGATCCAGGGCAAGGTATGTTTGTGCGTGATCATCCCCACGGATGGCGCAGGAGCCAGGATGGGCAAGAAAGAGTTGTGCAAAGATTCCTGCTCACTTCCAGAAAACAGGGTGATTGGGCCCAAGCTGGCTGTAGTGGAGTGGAAAAAAATAACAAAAATTCTAGCTACTGTTGCTGGTGATGTGCACTGTTTTTTTTGTTTGTCTGTTTTGTTTTTTTGTTTGTTTGTTTTTTATGACTCTGGAAAGACAGGAGGACACGAAGGCAGGAATTGATGTGGGAGTGGAGGTGGATAAGACTGGTGGTGGTGGTGACGATGATGGTGATGATGATAAGAACTTAGATGGAGCAAGCCGTCCTCTTGGGCAAAGCTTCCAGTGCATTCAATATGAACCTAGTTAACAGCCAAATTGCACTCAGCTCTCCTTGTTAACTTTTATTTACTTTGATTTAATTATTAGAGGGCCCTGTGTTTGTGTGTGTGTTTGTGGTGTGTGTGTATGTTTGTGTGGGTTTTGTGTGTGTGTGTGTGTGTGTGTGTGTGTGTGCGCGCGCGTGTGTGTGTGTGTGTAGGATACATGGAGGCCAGAAGAGGGCATCAGATCCCCTGGAACTGGAGGCACAAAAGGTTGTGAGGTTCCCCATGGGTTCTGGAAAGCCAGCTAGGAGGGGCCTCTGCAAGTAAGTACTTTTAACCACCAAGCCATCTCTATAGCGTCCATGTTAACTTTTATGATGGGGGAGTGTTATTTAATGTTATGAATTCCATTATAAATGAGGATGGATGCAAATGAAGGCGGACGTTTGATGCCAACAAAAACCCTGGGAACTTCCTCAAAGATGCCGCCACACTGGCACCTGGGGTTGGAACTTTCGTGGCAGTTAGACATGCAGAATACAAGGCCTTGGGACTGTCTTTTAAATCTTGCATTCTGATTGGTGCGGTGGCAGTGGGCAGTGCGGCATCCTGGGATGAATGTGACTATACTGTCTCTGAGCGCCAGTTCCCACATTGGCCACTAGGAGGAGCCCTCGAAGCTGGCTCCTGCCACCCTCACCCTCCTGGGACCGGGATGGGCCAGAAGACGGTTTCGGGACGCTGAGCCCTGTTAGGTGGACACGCTTCGCTTCTCTGCGCAGCTCCTTTGGCCCCTTTCCTCTGGCTCTCAGCCTCGCTGAGGACATTGGCTGACCTGGGGGGTGGGACGTGAGTTTGCGGAGGATTGCAAAGGCCCAGATCCAAGGTGCAAAACTGCACAGTCTAGCAAGTAACTCAGCAGCCAGCAGGCCCCTTCTGTCCCTCTAAACAGCCTTGACCATGCGCATTAAGCTTTTCCTAACACCTTACTGGGGTGTAAAATTGTCTTCTCACAGGAGAGGGTCACCTGACAACCAGGCGCTGTCATCTCTCTCAGCTTCCTTGTTCTCACTATTTTTAAAATTCACTTCCCTTTTTAATTTATTCCCTCCACCCCCACTGCCTGCTATGCCAGGCTGAGAGTGGGGTTGCCGGACAGAGCCCAGGATTCTCAGTTATAAGCATAACCGACTTGTGACGAACCCCACCCTTCCTTAAACCTTTTATTGTATTTTTATTTTTATTTATTGTGAGTTCCCGCGTGAATAAGTGGCCATAGGCCTCTGGTCCTGTGGAGATGAGAGATGATTTTCTCGGGCGGGTTCCTAAGGGGACCCAGGGGACTGATACCTTTACCTGCTGAGCCCTATCACGCCTCCATCCCTTATTTTTTAAGTGTGAGTGTGTCTTAGCATTGTTGGAGATATACTTACCATACAAAGCACATGCTGCTCACCTGAAGTTACAGTCCCACTGGATGTTTTCATTTTCATCGCTAGCTGCAATCCTGCATGGGAAGGCTCTCACCCACTGCCTTCCTTGCTGGATGCTTGGATGGGTGAATTCCTTCAATTCTTAACTCATTTATTAAGCCAGGCCGTTTATTTCAAGCACCAGTTGGGTCCCTGGAAAAAAAAAAAAAAAAAAAAAAAAAAATGATAAGTGGGCAGTCCAAAGGGAGGGGAAGCCGCCACCTGATTAGACTCTGCTAAATAAAATGTGAAGGGGGGGGGGGGAGGGGGGCTGGGAAGGGACAGAGGAAGAGTCCCCAAACCCACCCAGGTCATCAGGACAACAAGGTGAGACGTGGAGACTCACAGCCCTATTAGGGAGCGGGGCAGGGCCATGGGGCGCTGCGGGAGGTGTCATAAAGTCACCCATGTTCACGGGTGTCACTACCCTGAGGGAGGCTAGGGTGGCTTTACTGTCCTCATCTTATATGTGGGGAAACTGAGGCCTGGAAAGTGAAGGGCCTGGGAAGGGAACATGGAGCTTCAAGCTCAAGTCTGAGAGACTCAGAAGGGAGCCTGTATTCTTCTAGAAAAGCTACTGTGCTTTTGGGAACCAGAGCCCCAAAAGGAGAGCAAGGATCCTGGGGAACAGGACTCTCCCTACAAGTACGGCTGCCTCCCAGTTTAGCAGGAAAGCATGAAGAGACAGCGGCAGGTCTTAGCAGGTCCCCAGGTTCAGCCTCCCTCACCTAGCTAGGCTGGGCCTTCAGGCGGCCCCTTGTGAGGAGGCCTGTGGCTGATTGCTCCCATGGGTCCCGGAAAGGTCTTTGGTCTCCATGGTGACCACCTCCCACTGTCCCCGAAATCTCATTGTGACCAGTATTAAGGGATTAGCTCGCCAGCAGCCCTCACAGGGTCTTGGGTGCCAGAGTGGCAGCAGGAAGTCGGTCAAGGATGAGGAGGTTGCCCACTGTGCGTGACCCTATAGGACCAGGAGGAGGATGTCAGACAGGGGCCAGGGCCTCCCACAGGACCCACCAGGTATGCTGCTGAGTTCACACCTGTCCAAAAGGAAGCCCAGGGTGGTGGGAGGGAGGCCAGGGACTCAGGGAGACGCCCAGCATTCAGGGCCTGTGGGGATCTTTAGTCCCAGTGCTAGGCAGCCCAGGAAGGCCAAGGGTCCTGATGGGTGGAGGGCATTTGATCAAAATAAGCTCCAGATCTCCTCAACAAGGGCAGGGGAATCCCGGAGGCTCTTTGCGGGGGGGGGGGGGGGGGGCATGTACTTCAAGGCGGATCAGCCATCTCATCTCCATTTTGCAGGTGGGGAAACTGAGGCAGAGAGAGAAAGTGCATTGCTTAAAGTCAGTAAACTGAGGCAGGTGGAGACTTCAGAGGGGATCTCAAGGTTATCTAAACAGAACATTGGTTAAAAAAAGAAACACAATGAAACACACTATCACTCTGTCTTGAGCTCCACTGGCCCTGCTACCTTCCCTTCTTGCTGCTTTTCCCTCCTGACCTTCCCAGTCCTATACCCACTCAGCCTGAGGCTGGCAGAGAGTTCTAGTCAGGCTCCACAGGATTTGGCCACAAAGCCTTAACTATGTCACCCAGGGGGCCGCTAGTCTCTGGGTCTCTGCTCATTCACCCTTTAGCCTCTCTGGGGATTTGGGATCCAAAATGCCCTGGTGATCCAGCTACCAGAAAGGCAATATAAACCCCAGGGGCTGGGGATACAGTTGGTGGAGTGCTCGCTGGCTTAGCATGCATGAGTTTCTGTGTTCTGTACCCAGCACTGGATAAACCAGATGTGATAGTACACACCTGTAAGCCCAGTATTTAGGAGGTATAGGCAGGAGGATCAGAAGTTCAAGGTCATCCTCCGCTAGCTAGCGAGTTTGAGGTCAGCCTACGCGGCATGTAAGAAACCCTACCAAAAAAATAAAAATCTGAGCTCCCTGGGGAACTGAGGCTCTCTGGCTGAGCTGGCTCCTCCTCAGCCCAGGCTTGCCCTAGCGGTGTCAGATAACCTACCGACCACCACAGAAAATGAGCAAAGCAAAGTGCAGGACAGCGCAGGAGGCTGGGTGACGACACAGAAGTACACAGGTCCTGGGCGTACTCGCAAGGCTCCGGGAAAGCTCAGAAGACAAGAAAAAGTAAGAAATGGCACAGATGGTGCAGAAGCTGAAAGAGAGGATGGACAGAGTCAGGGAAAGGAAGACTTCTCAGCAGGTGCATTTTTATGTTTTTATTTTGAAGCACAGCAATGGAGCTAAAAGCCTGAAACAAATGAGGTAAAGGAGTCGATAAGAAGAATAAGGACACTTACTTCCATAACGACAGGTGTGCAGCGAAGATTTCGATGCACGTCCTAGGAATTAGCTCCATGTCATATTATCCTTGACCTGGAAGTCAATTTGCTGTTGCCAATAATAACAGCACTAGACATTGGTACCTGGAATTGGAGCTGTCTACAAACTGGAGACAGGGCCAGGTGTGGTGTAAACAGCACCCATGAGTCAGCATTCTGACTCTGTGAGAAGTGATCACTGACCCACCGGTTGGATGGGGAAACTGAGCCTCGCCAAAGGTTTGACTCCCACATAGTCAAACCTGAACCCGCACTGAGACATTTCAGGCTCTCCCCGGCCCCACAGAGGTTCCGAATTACTCCAGACTTCTCTGGGAATTTCTGACTCCAAGATTTTTGTTTTAAGTTAGAGTGTAATTCTATAGGCCAGGCTGGCCTTCCACTCCCCAGGATGTAGCCCAGGTTGGCCTGGAATTCCCAATCCTCCTGCTGTAATAACAGGTGTGTGCTACCTTACCTGCTTGCCTGTCCAAGACTTGCCTGTTGGTTTGTGATAGGGCTTGGGAATCAGTGTGTTATCTCTCCTGTTGTGTGGTGCTTGGGATGGAACTCATGGACTGTTACATGCAAGGCAGCATGCTCCCACTGAGCCGTATTCCGGCACAAGCCCTTTAAAAGCCAGGATGTAAAAATCTTTTACAGTCTCAAGTAGTTCCACTTTGTTATCCAGAGGGAACCTTCTGCTTGATTTTTCCAAATGAGAAACCAAGACCAAGGAGGGAAATGACCTCTCCCAGCACCACACATGGCTGAAAACAAAGTGGGGACAAGCTGTTCAATGGCTTACATGGACTCTCTGCTCAAATAAGAAATGGAATCTTCCTTTGGCTAGCCTAGGCCCCTAGGGCTTTGGAACAAGGTCTGGATTTCCACCCTCTTCACCATCCCCCATCTCAGCCTTCTTGACTGGAACATTTGTGCAATGAGCAACCTGTGCAAGTACACACAATGATTCTGGCCTGTCTCCGAACTTCCAAATACTTTACCCTGATGACATCAGAGAAATCCCTGGGGCCCCTCCAAACAGGAGTCAGGGAGATGAACGGTCACTTCTGAATGGTAGACTCATTCCTCACCCCCAAAATCAGGACTTGGGTTAACAGGGGCTTCCCATCACCCCTCAGTCCCCACACAGGCCAAGGTCATTTGGCAGAACACAAACAGGGCAGTGGCAATGTCCGCTCAGATGTCACAAGCCACCTGGCTGAAGGCAAACAGTCGGCAGGAAACGCTGCCCACGGGACCCAAATCCTGGCTTCTACCTGATTGTTCCCCAGACCATCCTCTCACCAAACCTCCTAAACCTTTCCAGCTGGCATCTCCCACGATACACTGCAATCTGCCCAGAGCTGCTTCTGCACCCTTGTCCTGCCAGCCTTCCCCAAGCACTCACTTTGTCTGGGAAAGTCTTGGAAGGATGGAGTAGTCTCAAGACCAGGAAAACAGGTTCTGGAGTCAGGTTGGATTGGAGTCTTACATCTTACTTCCTGTCAACTGTGTGAACGTGGGTACATGACTCAACCTCCCTGGGCCAGCTGTCTTACAAACTGCTGATGAAAACACAGAAGTGTCAGGGCAGTGTGAGAATTCATGAACAAAGCCCCTGACACAAATGTCCACGTGTTGCCTATGTGCCTTTGGCACTATTTTGTCCCTGTGGGAAAATTAGATCTTAGGCATTTCCTCAGCTTATAGGGGAAGACACTGAAGCCGAAGGGTCTGGGCAGTCTGGAAAGGGCCCTGGGTTCTGTGTCTTTTCTCTAGAGGCCTGATGCTTCCAGAGACAGGACACGGCCAAGGATAGGAGGTGCCTCTACCCCACACTCTTGCTGCTGGGACTACTGCACAGATGACACCTCCTAAGTTGGGCCTCTGGTGGCTCTCAAGACCTGTCAGCAGAGGAAAAGGCTCCTCATCCTCAAAGTCCTTCGACACATCCCTCAGGCCTGTCGCTTCTGTCCCAGGAGACCCAGGCTATCCAGAGTGGCCTGTTCTTGGACAGGCTGCAGCCCCTCTCTGCCTCTGTTTCCCACCTGCTGGGTCTGGGTCTGGGTGCTTTCCCCAGCTTGAAAATGAACTATTAAGATCCCACCTAAGAAGTCATCATCTGACCCCCTCCGTGAGCTCCTGAGAACCCCCACAGCCCAGCTTGAAAAGCTTCTATTTGTGCCTCCCCTAAGATTTCCTGGCTGGGACATTGAAGCTAAAAGCTGCTGCTTCACGTCCCCCTACGGGACGCTTCCCGCTACCTTTATCTCCCTGTGGTTAACAGAACAAATATACTCAGGCCCGGGAGCAGGGCACATGCAAGCTGTTGGCTCTTGAGCAAAGTCTCTTCCCTCCGGAGGGCGCAGCAGAGACTGCTCGACGTGTGTGGAGAGGCCAATGGCCTCTTGCATAACCCAGGAGGCCTCCTGGCCACCCAGGGCCTTTTCAGGGTTAGGGGTGAGGCAAACCGCAAACTCATGCCCAGTTAATTTTTTAAAGCGAGACCGAAAGGCTCAGCAATGATTAGCAGGCAGGTAAGTTCATCTTAATCACGCTGAGGACAGAGAGGGAGGAAGAGGCTGCTGGAGGCCCAGGGATGGGGCCCAGTTATCATTAACCACATAAACGTTGTTTCCTTCGAAAACCACTGGCCTTCAGCCCCCAGCTCCCTCATCCTCCTCTCTGAGATACTGTGGTCACTGAGTGAGTGTGGCCATCAGTCACTGAGTAAAGCAACATGCAGCCCCAGTCTTTTTGGACTGGGAAAGCAATGGAGTGCCCTTTATTAAGATAGAACTCACACACCACCACTAACTAGCCTGAAGCAAGTCCCTTCTCCCCTCTGGGCTTGGCAAGAGGCCCCAGATCTTTGGCCCAATGCCCAAACTTCGGCAAGTACTCTTCGCCTAAGGGTTTCAGGGTCTCCATCTGCCCTACGGGTAGCTTAGGAAGATGGCTTTTCTAGTCTGAAATTCCATGGGACTGAGCCATAGTGGGATGGACAGGGCGCAGGAGCTCAAAAAAAAGAAAAAAGAAAAGAAAAGAAGCAGAAAGGCCCACGGAGGATACCTACCTGGTTTCGGTTGTTGGCATCAACAAGCATCAGATTCCAGCTTCAGGCAGAGCTGTCCTCTCAGACAGGAGCAGGGGTCCCTGGGTAGTGAGCTGGTAGTTATAGAGGATGGCCTGGCAGGTCCCAGCTGCCCAGGAAACCTACCCTCAGATCTTGGGAGCTGCCAAAAGAAACGGCAAAGCCAGGCTAGTCTCAGGCTAGGTGGCCGCTTGAACTGGAGTTTGGTCAGCAGTTGGGGACCTATATTGTGAGATAGTTAGGACTTTGTCCACAAACTGGAATTTGAAATTTCAAAGGGGCGAAGCTGAAGGCCCTACCCCAGAGTAGAGAGATGGCTCTTGGCTTCTTGCCCCTACGACTTTTGTTCTTTGTCTTGATAAGTGCTGGTTTCCCCTGCACTGCGCCCCGGGTGGCAGGTGGGGGAGGAAGGAGAGGAGATAGAGCTGAGGTGAGCTCTGAGAGGAGCAGCCAAGGCGCCAGGTGCCCCGGGTGGCTGGATGTCTGTAGTATGCCTCTAGATCTACAAGTGGCCAGAGACAGGGCCGAGGCTACTCAGCTGCACTGAGATAGAAAAACCAGCTGCAGCCAGACCCAACCTCCAGGAGTCTGTAGTTATTCCAGGGACTCAGATATGGGGTAACACAGACAGAGGAGCTTTCAATCCCTTAGTTAGCCTTAGTCCAAATAGCAGACTCTTCTATTACATGCTTCACGGCCTTGGGCAAATGTACTTTATCTCATTGAATCTCCATTTGGCTTTATAAAGTGAGGATAGCCTGGGCCTCACGGTTCTTATCATGAGGCCAAGAACATGTTTCCATAGCCCTTTGCTGTCACTGTTGTTTGGTTGAGGGGCTGAGGTTGTAGCTCAGTCACTACAGGGCTTAGGTAGCATGAGAGAAGCCCTGGGTTAACTCATGACTCAGCCGTGGTGGTACCTACCTGCAATCCCAGCACTCAGAAGGTGGGAGAATGAGGATCAGAAATTAAAGTCGCCCTTGGCTGCATGGGGAGCCTCAGCTACTCGAGACCCAGACTCAAAGAGGAAGAGTGATGGGGAAGGATTTGGTCCATTGCAGCAGGGCCCTTAACCTCTGTTAGCAGCAGAGGCATGAGCCCCTAACCCAGCTCTTGGCTAGCGGCCACCTCTTTGAACCATACTCTTCCCTGCTCAGGCTCTGTCTCCAGCCACAAGATGAAGGAGTTGGGCTTCCAGGCCAGCTCTGAATTCGTCGTTTCCAAAGGCCGCTGCCCCTTGATCTGGGGCCTGACAGCTCAACAAGAAAGGAGAGAGGTGACAAACAAGTTCCACACTGATGGCATCAAGACTGGAAAAATGTCCTATCTAGGAGCTTCTTAGAGAGTAGGGGGTTCTGATTCCCAAAGATTACATGACCGGCAGAGCCAGGAGTCCCTAGCCAGCGGTGACAATCATTACTGTTGTACACTGTAACCCTGGGCATCGGTGATGGAGGTTCAAGCACCCTCCTCAGATATCCAGATTCATGGGCGCTCAGGCACTTGACATGAATGACTGTTGTATTTGCCTATGACCCATATACAACCCACTGTATTTTTAGTCATCTTCGGGTTATGTGTGCCACCACGGAAGTGCTGTGTCCCTAGCTGTCTAGTTCTTAGGTTAAAATCGTTAAGGAGTAAATGACAAGGAAAAAAATAATACGTATCATGGTCAGGCAAGTGGCGCTTGCTTGTGTTCCAACTCTCAGGAGTCTGAGGCAGAGGGATTGCTTGAGCCCAGGAGCACAAGGCCAGGTTGGGTAACACAGTAAACCCCATCTCAAACAAATAAATATCCCCATTTGTACAGGCTGATGTCAGAAATGATGATGATGATGGTAATAATTGTGGTATTATGTGTGTTCATAATTTGTGATTTAGTTTATTTTGCTGTGTACGTGTATGTTACATCAGGTGTCTTCCTCTATCACTTTCTACTTTGCTTTTTGACAGGGCTTCTCACTGAGCCTGGAGCTCAGTGGTTGGTTTGGTTGGCTGGTCTGTGAGCCTTGAGATCCTCTAGTCTCTGCCTCCTGTTACTGAGATTAGAAACATACAGCCCATGCCAAGTTTTTCCTGTGGGTGCTGGGGATTTGAACTCAGGTCCTCATGCTTATACAGCAAGCACTTTTCCCACTGACCATCTCCCTAGAACCCTTTTTACCATTTTTAAATAAAAATTATTTATTATTTGTGGGTAAAGAGAGATAGAGAGGTGGGGTGAGCATGGGCACAGAGATGGAGAGGTGGGCAGAGAGACAGATGTGGTGAGGGTGGGCACAGAGATGGAGAGGTGTAGTGAGGGTGAGCACAGAGACAGATGAGGCAAGGGTGGGCGCACAGATAGACAGGTGGGGTGAGGATGGGCATGATCTTGTTGAGGTCAGAGGACTATGTTGAGAAGTTGGTTCTCTCCTACTGTGGGTTGCAGGACTTGAACTCAGGTCAGCACCTGCTAAGCCATCTCTTCAGCCCTGTTGCTGCTGCTATTGTTGTTGCTGCTGAGACGGTTTTATATACTCCAGGCTAGCCTTAACTCCCCATCTTCCTTGCCTCCACCTCCCATGTGCTAGGATTACATGCATGTCACTACATCCCTCTCAGACACACGTACGTTGGACTCCATGATCTATAGAGACAATGAACAGGGACAGCTAAATGACAGAGTGATCTCACTTAACTGTCACCCAAACAACAACAAACCCCACAGGTTGGCCCTGTTCTACAGAAACACTAGATTCAAAAGAGCTCGTCCCAGTCTCCAGGCCCGTTATATCACAGAGGTGACAAATCTAGGTGAAGGAGGGCTGCCGTGACGGTGTTGCTCAGAGTCAGTTAAAGGTGGAGGAGATTAAGGATGAAACAGTTATGCAGTTTACGATTGATGAGTGGGTAGGTTGCTGTGGGTGGGTTGTGGCAGGGTAGGACGTGAGTGTGGAATGTGTAACACATAACGTATGTCGTAGCTTGTGTACCTAGCAGCTCTCGTCGCCCGAGTTCTCTTGCCCTCTTGATAGTTCTCTGTCTACCCATGATGTGTCCTGGCAAACCCTAGTTGAATCACAGACCGTATTTAATGGAATCTACATTGCATCTATAAAAGGGCCTTTTGTTGGTTTGTCACCTAATAAAACTCTGGCCTGCTAACCATCACATTCCACTGACAGAAGCTCAGAATCGTGTCTCTTCTGGGTGACAAGCCCCCTGTGAGGCAGATGTGCAGAATGCTGTGGATTGGCTGTGGTCTATCACATGCCTTCCCTTTCCACCCAGCCCCCCACCCCCAGTGTCACCAGGACCAGATGCTGCCAAGTGAAGCTGGAAAGGACCTGAAATCTTATTTGGATCTTAAGTTATGGGCTACAGGCTCCAATCCTTCCCCCTCCCTTCCACCAAGAAACAAAGCACGAGTCTAGGATCTTCCCCCACTATAACGAAAGTTGCCCAGAGAAGAAAAATGAACTATAAAGCCATTCTTGACAGAAATGGTTTCTGTTTGCTTTTAATCAACCGAGAGCGTATATGATAGGAGCAGGACATGCCGGGGATCAAGCTCAGGTCAGCAAGCTTGCAAGGCAAGTGCTATTTCCTGTTTAGCCGTCTCGTGGGCCCCCAGAGATAGTTTCTAAACCCAGGGCATTGACTCTAACATCGTTCTTCCCCACAATTGCCTCCCAGCTCTCTTCTGCCATCTTGTCTCTGGGAACAGGATGGAAGGGGCATAATAGAGCTAAGGAGAACAAAAAGAGGGATTCTACTGGTTGTGTCACTATGGTGCTAAGGCGCAGCTATTTTGCTCACTCTTTAATTCACATATCCATTCACTCACCCATTCACCTTTTTACGTACTCATAAATTTCACCCATTCATTCACTTATTTAGGTCTCCTAGTCACTCATTTTTTCTGGTTCATTCACTCATTCCAAAGCAGACTCTGTCTCTCATTCTTGCTCTGTGTTGTTACCATGCCCTCTGAATTGCTATTTCAACTAACTGAACAAGCCAGGCCCTGAAGCTCCCAAAGCACCTGCCCTCACTCTCAGCCTTCTGTGGCTCTCTCTCTCTCTCTCTTCCCTGCTAGTGGTAGTTTCAAAAGTGTCAGCAGAGAAGGATGCAGAAGGGGACTACACAAGAGGACAGATGCGCCAAGTCTAAGGTCAAACCTCATAGAGGATGTAGACAATGAAATGAAGATTTAAAGAGAAAAGGTTTTAAAGGCAAAAACGGGGAGGATGGGTGGGTAGGGCTGAAAGATGGCTAGGTAGTTAAGAACACTGGCTGCTCTTCCAGAGGACCCGGGTTCAATTCCCAGCAACCTCTTGGTGGTCCACAACTGTCTGCAATTCCAGTTCCAGGGGACTCAACACCCTCTTCTGGCCTCAGTGGGCACCAGGCATGCGTGTGGTGCACAGACATACATGTAGGCAAAACATTCATACAAATAATTTATTTTTTTAACTTGAAAAAAATCCTAAAGGATAGAACAAGTGTTGAGCCAGGCAGAGACATTTTGAGCATGGAGCTTCCCTGTGACGGTACAGGGGTACATCCATGAAGCCCACTCCAAAGAGATCTCCAGTTGTCCAGGATCAATTTGTATTTCTGTGATTAACAAACCTAATGATTATTGCGTCAAAATAACTCCAGAAGTACATGTCTGATTGTTTCTGAATGCACAAGAAACTGAACTGCACGTACAACACAGTTGTCATTTTCAGTATCAACAATAGGAAAAGCAAGTCTTTGTAAATGAAAAGATGGGTGACAGACAGAAACAGGAAGGCCAAAGGGGGGGGGGCACACAATGAGAAGAGGAATTAGTTGGACATTCCTGTCCATTCTTGTCAATTCCAGTTCTTGGGAGGCTGAGGCAGGAGTATCAAGAATTTGAGCCTAGTCCAGGCTACACAGCAGAATAGAAACGATGGTTTGGGGTTGAGGTATTGGCCAGCTCACCTTGAGTCATTTTTATATCTCATACATTACCCAGACTACCCTTTCAGATTGCCTGGACATTTTATAGAGATGGAAACTGAGGCCTGCAAGGAGAATCATTTACCCAGAGTCACAATCAGCAGGTGGCAGATTGTAAGCGGCCTGAGTGTAAGCCCAGGTCTACCAGCCACAGATCTCGACTGTGCCTGTCCTGGGCTGGGGGCTGTGATCAGTCAGTGGGACCGGGGACTATCCATGGCATCTGGTCCTGCTGGAGCAGCCAGGAGCTATCAGGGGTCAGGGAAGGAACCTGAAAATGGGTCCAATCAGCTCTCAGGACATGTTAGAAACCAGAAGGGACCCAGAAGAGAAGAGTCTTCCTCTGCAAGGATCCAAAAGACCCAAGCGTGGGCCTGGGATTTAGGTTTCCAGTTCAGTCGCCATGCTGGACACTGGATGGCTTTACCTCGATCGAATTGGGGATGGAAGGCAATGATTTGGGAAGTAGTTGGATTAGGGTTTCTTGAAGTTAGGCTTGTCAGTGTCTAAGCATGTCAGCTGGGATGTCCAACTCGGAGCGACGTTGGCTGGGGGGCTGCTGAGGTAAGGGTCCAACCAATGCCAGTCCTGTTCCGTGCCTGCTTTTGGAAGATTGGTAACTGAATATTAATGAGCTGCGGCCCAACAGTTGTAATTAGCACCCCAGGTGTCAGTCAGAAACCAACAAACAGCCAAATCCCTGCGGCTCCGCCTAGCCTACCCAGCAACGGGGGTGATTAACCATTAACTCCCACCCCTCCCCACACAGCCTCCACCCTCTGCAGAAGCTAGGCCAGGACGCCAGGCTGAGTCTCCCAGAGGACAGTTTGAAACAGAGGAAGGCAGAGAAGGGACCTGGGAGGAGGCAGAGGGAGGGCGGAGACGGGGGCAGGGGCTCAGCCCAGGGGCTTGAGTGGCATCCTGGGCAGGGCAGGACAGGGGGCCGAGGCGTGGGTAGGGGAGAATGCGACTCTCTAAAACCCTCGTCGACATGGATATGGCTGACTACAGTGCCGCTCTGGACCCAGCCTACACCACCCTGGAGTTTGAAAATGTGCAGGTGTTGACCATGGGCAATGGTAGGTGGGGGCGATCGTGCCCAGGTATGGAGCGTATCTTTGGCACTGGACTTTGGGATGGGAGGAGAAATATAGAAAATCGTAGGTTGGTCCTATAGGCTTGGACAAGTGTCGCCTGGTGAAGCAAGTGGGCCTTCGTACCGTGGCCAGAGGCAATCTGGGTGAGGGAGGCCTGCCGAAGTGGATTTCCAACAGAAAAGTTCCCTAGGTCGTCCTTACCTACCTAGGCCCTGGCGTCTCAGACTGCCCTTCTTACCACATTTAGGAAATAGGGCCATGATGGTGAGCTTCCTCTGGGTGGCTACGGAAATCCTACCCAGCATGGCCCCGTCTTCGGGCCCCTGGGCCTACTATGTTCAAGCCATGAAAGATCTGTCTCATCCCTTGAGATGGTGACAGGAGGCACGGCTCTGAACTGGAGCTCGGTGGGAAAGTGGAGTTTCCAGGCTTCCTAGCTAGAAGGCCAGCACAGCGGTGTGTATTTACATGTATGCTCCTAGGTGTCCATGTACACGAACGGGCGGCATGGCAAATGCAAGAATACAGCTTCCTGTTTGTTCGCCTTTTCGGGTTTGTGTCCTGGCTTCGTCTGTGTTTGTTAAATGATCTGTAGTTGTGTCTCCAGGAGCATTTGGTGGTGGTGGTGGTGGGTTTTGGTTTTTTTGTTTGTTTGTTTGTTTTTTGGGGGTTTTTGTTGTTGTTGTTGTTTTTTTTTTTTGGCTTGAATATATGTGTGTATGTCTAGCGTCTGTGAACATGGGGCACAGACCTAACATGTTTGTGAATGTGGACATGTGGGCATACCCTGTGCTTCCTGCCTGGTGGCCCTGGATGGCATTTTATATATGCACATGTGCATACAGCCCCCGTGCTGCTGGGCACTGTTCTCTGATGTACAGGATGGCACAGGACCATTCAACGGGTTTTTTTGTTTGCTTAATTTTGTTTTGAGACAGGGTCTCTACATAGCTCTGGCTGTCACGAAACTCCCTACATAGACCAGGCTGTCCTCAAACTCACAGAGATCCACCTGCCTCTACCTCTCAAATGCTGATACTAAGGCATATACCCTTGAGACCCAATGTGTTTGTTTGGGGTTTTTGGTTTGTTTGTTAATGCAGAGTGTGTGCTCCTGAGCTGGCCTGAAACTTAGAATACACCCAAGCTGGCCTGGAACTTGAGATCCTCTGCTCCAGCCTCTCAAAATACCAGGGTTATGTTGTGAAGGTCTTAATTGTTGCTATATACCAAAAATTGGGATTCACATCAGCAGCATGTGTGTTTATGTCTGAGCAGATTCCGTTGTCTGTGTGTGTCACCCCAGTTCAAACATCTGCTCCAGTGTCACTAAGAATATGTCTGTAGGGGGTGATGGTTTTCCTTTGCCAGGGAGTTGAGAAGGCACAAATCCTGGAGGATTGGAGGCTTCTGGAAGGGAGGGGACCAGGTTCCAGGCTAGCCTTGGAGAGATGGCACCCGGCTGAGGCTGGCCGGCCAGCCGGCCACCACCTTCCATCCGTGACTCTGACTGTGCGGCAGGTGCCACGCCGCAAGGCTTAGGTCCAGAAAGCTAGCTAGAAAGAGGAGGCAGCCTGTGGGCTCTGTCCATGGTCAGTCCCCCAGCTGCCTGCCCCTCGCACCCTCTTGCCGTGTAGAGTGTGACCATGGGCACGCTGCCTCCTTCTTTGTTGCTTGTGCAGCGTAAAAATAGGTTCTTTTACCCCAGCCTTGTTGGCCAGAAACTTTCAGAAGGATGGGTGATTTGGAGGAGGTGTTAAGGGGAAGAAAAAAAAAACCACTCTGGAAGTGGTGAACAACTTGCTTGAGATGGTATTACACAACCCCCACAGGAAGAATACTTGCTGTCACACTCCTGGCCACCGCACATCCCCGTCAGCACCTAGAAGTCCTGTGCTCCTGTACCCACAGCCAACCCCTTGGTTAAGTGTCTTGAGAACATATCAGTCACCCCCAGCTCTGGAAAAACCCTTCCTCGCAGCCTCAGGTTTTTTAAATCTGTAAAACAGGGATTGGTCCAGCTGTTCTAGTTTATACGGTTTACAAGAGCTTTTCTCCAGGCTTGCTCATCTGGGCTACTACATTTGTGGTCTCCAGGACTCTACTTTTGCTGGAAGGGTCTGCATGCCCTTCTGGATTTCACAGAGGTCTGAGAGCTGAGGTTATAGGAGTTTGTTCCCCAAAGTAATTTGGGTCCATCCTGAGCTAAGGGCTAGAAGGTTCTAAGGATAGCTGCACCCACCTTCTGTCCCCAGGTCAGAAACAGTTTTTAAGGTCCCCACAGATGCCCAGGCATGATGGCATGACCAGAGCAAAGCACTCTATGCCATAAGCCCAGGATCTCTGGCTGGCAGCAGCGTAATGACTCCAGGCAAGTCCTTGGTTCTCTCCAAGCCTCAGTGTTCTTAACTGGGAAATGGAAGTAGCCTGCTGTCCTCAAGGGTTGGGGAGGGGTGGGGGAGGACAAGCCAGCTGACTGTGTCCATGATGCCCGGCAAGTGGACACCTTGCCAGCCTCTGCCCAAGTTGCGGGCTCAGCTCTCCCCGGGGGTCGAGGGAGGAGAGGCCGAGGGAGAAAGGGCATCCATGAAGCTTAACGATTATCCCCGCCTTGGGAATAATTCACCAGCCGGAGGGGGCTCCACTCTAAACGCTCTGGAGTCCGAGGAAGGGTTCAGCCAGGAGACAGCAGAAATGAGAAACAGCTGAGAGGTACCTGCTGGCCAAGTTCTCTTCTACAGAGAAGAGTTTGATCCACAGACACAGGTTTAGAACTTGCTGCCTGGCAAGCACTTCTGGCAGACTGACTCACTGAACCTATGGACAATTCCAGGAGATGACTGTGCTCTGTCTGACAAGTGGAAGGGACAATGACAAGAAATAGCCCAGTGCCACAAGACCAGTGGAGATCTGACCAATGCTAGGAGTCTTCAGGGTCAATGCTTTAGTGTATCACAGCCCTCTCCAGTTTGCAATAGGACATTCCCTTAGGAATCTAGGATCATATAAAGAGTTTCTATGGAAATGCTCCCCCCCCCCCAAATTGTGTGTGTGTGTGTGTGTGTGTGTGTATTGTGCGCATGCATGGACTTTTGTTTTGGGAGGAATGGAGTTTGTCATCGCCTAAGGGTGATTTTTTTTTTTTTTAAACAAGGTCTCAGATAGCCCATACTGACTTGGAACTTAACTTAACTTGGAATTTAGCTGAGTATGGCCTTGAAATCTCTTGACCCACCTGCTCCTACCTTCCTAGTGATGAGATTTTCTAGAGTTTATCTGGCCAGGCACAGTGATGCACATCTGTAACCCCAGCACTCAGGGAGGCAGAGGCAGGGAGATCTCTGTGAGTTTGAGGCCAGCCTGGTATACAAAGTGAGTTCAGGATATCCAGGGCTACACAGAGAAACCCTGTCTCAAAACACAAACAAACAAGAGTTTATCTGTGGTAGAAGATTTGCTCTTAGAAAAAAGAGTGATCTTTTGATATATTATATATGTGTGTATATATTTACATATATTAATATAAAACCAACTGAACTAGCTGAACTGATCCCTTTATAGTCAGGAACATTGAGGCCAGGAGAAATTGAAACTAGGAAAAGGAGTTGATCCAAGGCCAGAGATAAGTTAGGGGTAGCATGGATATAAACACCCAAGAATCTTGACACACAGGTTGAACTCTCCTTTGCTGTGGAGTCTGTCCTCCTCACAATCATGGGGAGATGGCTTTTGGTCTGTGGTAAGAGGGTCCCATATCTGCTGACAAGGCTCGACCCTTGTCAGCACCCACCCCAGAGGCAAAGAATGTTCTCTGTGAATACCTTTCTACTCCTTAGGAGGTTCTGTGGTGTCTGAGGCTGAAGCCTAAGTCCCCCTGGTCCGGTTCTTCTGATGAGAAAAAGGCTGAGTGGTCACTGTCCCACAGCTCCCGGCCTGGAGTGTGTAAATGACTGTGATGGTCAGATTTTCACACCTTCCTGTGGAAGCTGCTGCTATAGCTTCGGCCCTTCTCTGTGGAGGAGCAAGCCCTTGCAGGTGCCCCCAGCAGTCCGGTTGGAAACTGAGACTCCAAATGCCAAATGACACTGCAGGCAGGAGGACGGAGCCGGCATAGCCCCTGCTCTGCAGAACCTGTTACAAGCCTCAGGTCTCAGGCTTGGGTCTTGTTTGTTTGTTTTGTTTTGTTGTTGTTTTCTCTCTGCCCCTCCTGGCTCCTCACTCACACTCCCTTTTGGTACAGACACATCCCCATCTGAAGGTGCCAACCTCAACTCATCCAACAGTCTGGGTGTCAGTGCCCTGTGTGCCATCTGTGGAGATCGGGCCACGGGCAAACACTACGGAGCCTCGAGCTGTGACGGGTGTAAGGGATTCTTCAGGAGGAGCGTCAGGAAGAACCACATGTACTCCTGCAGGTGAGGAGCCAGCTTGGGCCTCAACTTCCTCAGCTGAGACGTGGGTATATTGGGATTCATGTCCTCTGGGGGAGGGAGGAGTCCATCCTGAAGCATCTACCCTTCTGGACATTCAAGGATGGTCCTGTTTCTTAGCATCTGTGGATCCAGGTGGGAGCAGCTGCTTTAGCGACTGCCTACCAACCTTAGAGAGGGTAGGAGCAGCCCTCTGACTTGCTGCTTTTTATAGTTCTAACAAGGCATTGGCCCTAAGCCTTTCCATCTATCCCAGTGACAACCCTCCCCCCGCCAACACAGGTTCTGAAAATCCCTCTTTCAAAAGCATCTCTCATTTTGGATTAACAACAGTAACAAAGTAGGAGTGGTTGACTGAGCCATTGTCCCATGTCAAGCCTGTACTACATCATTGTCACCTGTCAATGTCCTTCTGAGGTGGTCACAATTATTATCCTCATTTTGTAGATGGGGAAAGTTATGTGTCGGAGGGCTAGGAATTTACCTGAGGCCAACCAGCTTGGATGAATGGTGGAGTCGGTATTGAAATCCATCCCTCCTGCATTACCTTTGCCTTTACCTTTGTGGGCCGACTACCAACGCTAAGCCATAGTCAGCAGGCTGCTACAGGCTCTCGTAGGATGTGGTGGAAGTGCTCTGGTACCCAAGAGACTGAGGTTTCCAATTCAGCTCCACTGCCAACCAGCTCGGTGATCAAAGTCACATGTCACCTTTCTGGGCTTCAGTTTCCTGTGTTGAGTGGGACAAATTAGACTTTCAGACAGTTCCATAGACCTCTTTGGGGTACAAAGACAGAGCAAGGAAGTTGACTGATGGCAGGGTCCTCATCCTGTCCTAAGAAGGGGAGGCTGTTTCTTCTCCATCCAACCATCCTACGTCCCCTCCAGGTTTAGCCGGCAGTGTGTGGTAGACAAAGATAAGAGGAACCAGTGCCGCTACTGCAGGCTCAAGAAGTGCTTCCGGGCTGGCATGAAGAAGGAAGGTGAGCCTCAGCCCCCCCTTACACCCCTGCCCCACCTGTACCCAGGCTCCAACCAACCCGGCGTTTACAACTGTATGTAGCCATACTTTATGGCTCTGTGACAGGCCCTGGGATGACTGGCTAATGGCTGAGAGGAGGGAGGGCCTGGAGATCTGACCACAGGGAGTGGCTGGGCTTGGTCTTGAGAAAGATTCAGAGATAAAGCTCCCACTCGCTCACTTCAGCTCCCAGCAACTGCCACTGAGCCTCCCTGTGCCACTATGAGGCAGCCAAGATAGGTGTTTTTTTCTAATGGATACCGCAAACATTATAACATGACCCAGCAAACATCCAAGTGGCCCACCACCAAGACTTCTGGGCTTCCTGTCCAAAGACAAACACCACATTTCCCTTAGTCCTCATTCCTGGGTGTCAGGTAACCTCTAGAATTTCCCCCTTTCTGACAGTGGAATGAGGCGTTAAACCCAGCCTGGATGGTAGAGTTGGAATTACTGAACACAGTGTCTTCCAGCCAACTCCTGCATCAGATATGGAGCTGGCTTTTCCCTGTGTCGTAGGTCATTTCATTCCAGTGACAGCTCTGTGAGGCTGGGATGAACACTGCCCCCTCTCATGGCCAAGGAGCCGAGGGCGACAGTGGGTAGTCACCTTGCTGAAGCCCCCACGGCAGTTCCTTGAAGAGCAGAGGTCACCACTCCAGCCTTGTGCTATTTGGACACCTCAGTGCTGCCTACACGGTGCCTTCAGGCCTCGTTTATGAGCCATTTTCAGCAGCCAGAGCTGTAGCGTGGTAGTAGAGCTATTATCGCCTGACAAACATACAGGGCCCCGGGCTACTCCTGCCTACAAAAAAAGAAGGAGGAAGGAAGGAAGGAAGGAAGGAAGGAAGGAAGGAAGGAAGGAAGG